GAAACCTTTGCACCCCCTCCCATCGTAAATCCGGGCTTGACTTTAAACAGCCGTAGTCGCGATAAGATCGCTGGCAGCCGCATTCCGATCAGTCGACCTTCGATCCGCCGTCCGCCGTCGGCTGCCCAAACGCGAAATACTTCTCCAGTACGTGGAAGTCCTTTGAAAGGAACCTCTACCGTTAGTTCCTGTTCCTTGCCCGAGAAGAAAAGAGGCGCGCCAGATCGTAAGCCTGATGAGGAAAAGGCGCCGCCTAAGCGCCCCGTTTCCCCACCGCGAATGAACGTTTTGGCAAAACAAATCTGGTCTAACTCTAAAAAAGCAGGCAAGTGGACAATTAATATTCTGATCCTACAAATGTAAGGTCCAACCATCGGTTGACTCATCCACAGGCGCCAAGGGAGACAAATCGCATCGCCGCGTCATCGAATTGAACAAGCTGCGGGCCTTCGAGGCGCAGAGAAAGAAACTTGAGTACATGCAGTCGGACTTCATGCACAAGCTGCGCACCCTAGGTTCCCAGTTTCCAGGGAATACTGCCTACAAGTTTGTAGCTCTCGTGATTAATGACGAGTGCAAGGTCGTGGTCCACGGTGACGATCTGCTTCGACTGCCCAAGAATCTGCGTAAGTTTTCAGAAAAACTAAATCGATCAAGTGTCTAAAAGTAAGCAATCCATTACATTTTCTAATTTTCTAGTAGGGTAGTTACATCGTTGCATACATTAAAAAATAATTTATAAAATAAGTAATCTAATCTTTCTCTTTTACTTAGATATTTCTAATTATTTTTTATTGTAAAGTAATAATTTATTTTAATTTACTGTGCACCGATTACTTATTGTCGTATTTTAGTTCGGAATAACGTACTATCCTTACTTAACATCTCATTGACCAAACATATTTATCCTATGGAACCTAAACATGAAATTATGAAAGGGTTTTTTTTACGACATTTAACAAACTTCTTAAGCAACTGATTTCTATAAATATCTTAACCCTTGTTTAGCTACTGCGAGTATCAATGACTTGAAACATCGTTGTCGTGGCATCGTCGATTTGGGTTTTATGCTCTTTTACGACTACCTGCCGTTCATTCAGAGGTCTAAGAATGAGTTTGAGGCTCGTGAAAAACGCGAGGAGATTCGAAACAAGTTAGGATCCTTAGTGGTAAGTTGCTACAAACCCTTACCTCTAGCGAGATAAAAACCTTTTTGCATTCACCACAAGAACCGAAAAATGACTTCCATTGTTGAGGAGATCGACCATTTGTGTGGTCCAGGCTCTAGTAGACCCGAGCTCTGCAATAACCAGCTCTATCGCGAGATGGCGGATCTGCGATTGCAGAAGCAGCACATGGAGGGTCGCTACTTTGATGTCAAGAAGGAACACCTTGACGAAATGAACAAATTGAGGTCTGAGTACGAGGTAAAGATGGCCGCACAGCTGGCCAATCGCGACCAGACCATCAGTGATCTCAGGAAGAACCTTCAACGTAGCGAGGAGCTGGTCAACGAGCAAACCATTCGCCTGGCCGAGAAGAACAAAACGCTGGTAAGCGAGGATGGAACTCTCGAGGAATTGCGTGCCGAGATGGCACAGGTTAAGTTGGCGTAAGTTAACTGGTCTTATTTAGTTTAATATAGGATTCTTATATAATCAATACCTTACATAGCAACCAACGGATGCTACAGCGCCTGGAAGAGGCGGATGTTGGCCTTCAACGGGCACGCAGTTCCGTCGATAAGCATATCGGACAGATTACCTATTTGGAGGGGGAACTCAAGGAGGCCCGCGAGCTGATCGTCAATTTGCAGAAGCGTCCAGATTGCATGGACAAGGGCATTGTGGAGAAGGACCTGATCATTGCTGATCTGAAGCTGCAGCTACAGAATATTGAGCAGCACAAGAATGTGCTTAATAAGCAGGTGGTCAATGCCTTGAAACATCATACTGACTTTGAGGAGCTCAGTGGGAAATATAAGAACGCCATGGTGCAGATAAGGTAGGTGATCTATAGACGTATCTTAGTACACAGAAAATATAGGATCAATTTGACATGCGAATGGTAATTTTATTGAGTATCTTTTTCTTCTCTTTGGAAATTCTCTCTGATCGATAGAAAAAGTACGAGATAGCCTGGGTTATACCAAGGCAGTAATATTCTAAATTCTCAAAAACGAAAAAAGAGAGGAAAAAGCTAAATGGTGGTTAAATCAAAGTGATATGCCCCGTATCTAGATAAAATTAATTCTGAATTTCACCAAAATTATCATATCCTATAAATGTTTCTATATCTTAAAACATAGCTTCTAAAAAATGTTTCCCCAAATACAGCGATCTTAAGGAGTCCCTGAAGATCACAACCACCAAATCCGAGTTCCACTCCAAGGCCGAGGAGCAGTTACGCAAGGAGATAGCCAAGTTGCGGGAGCAAATGGCTCTTGATCAGCAGATGCTCACCGCTCGCAGCGAGCTGATCAACAACCTGCAGAAGACCGAGCAGGAGAACCGCGCCAAACTCGACCAAATGTACTATCAAGTTAGCGAGAAAGACACGCTGATCAATCAGGTCCGCCAAAAAGGGGATTTGACTAGCCCTGCTTATGCTTATCCGCTTTCTCGTTGCAGGTAAACAACGAGCTGGCCTCGAAGGAGGAGGAGTTCCGCAATCTATTCGAGACCCTGACATCCAAACAGACGGAGGTAAGGAGGCAGGACCATGTCATCCAGCTTCTGAAGGAGCAACATTCGCGGGTTTCCCTTGCGCGAGCCGGTCAAGGCGAGCGGAATGCCGCGATGGAGAAAGAAATAAATGATCTCAAAAACACCCTGTAAGTTAATTCGTTAATTCTAACTGTTAAAATAAAAAAAGTTCGCCAGATTGCTATTACTTTGAAAATCCCCCTGTCAGATACACATTAACGTTAGGGAACTTTTCCATCGAGGAGGGGTCTAATGAGGTCTTGAACCCAAATTGAAGACCTAATTTCAACTGGCACAGTTTTCAAAATTTTCTTTGAGTAAGTAACGGCAATGCAGCGAACTTTTGTCTTAGCAAGTAAATTACATTCTTTTTAAATATAATTTACAGTCGTGATTATGCCAGAGTTATTATTGGCAATAATGGTCAACCATTTTTTGAAGTTGTGCCAGCTGGCGAAATGGGGAGCAGTGGCCACCAAGATCGAGAGGAGACTCCCATGGGAAATGACAGAACCTGCGAGTTACTGCAGAGATTCCTGCCCCATCAGGACCAGTCCAATCCGCAAGAGCAGGAAATGTCACAGCCACATGGTAGATTCTTTGAGCCTCTGCATCACAACCTGCTGCCCCAAGGATCACGAAACCTCAGCCCCCATCGATCTTCACCCAGGCAATCGCCCCGCTCGGGTTTTCAACTGCAACATCCGCGTAACCATCATCAAAGTCCTCGCATTGACCTGAATCCCTCGCCTCTGGAGTCTCGCGGACACCAGCGATCTCGAGACCAGCATTAGAACTAATAAGATACCTTTAAAAATCCCAACATTACTCAAATGGAGATCACACAAGCATGGAAATTCTTCAGATAGACACGCAAAATTAATTGTAATCTTTGGCCAAAGGCATTATATTTTTGTACCCATGAGTAATAAGTAACTGGAATCTGGTTAAGTCTCGTTTAGGGCGGCGGCTTGATGAATCGATAAGCTTCGATTGGTTGGGAAATCAAAATCTGGCACAGTTAATTTAAATGATTTGGATTTTGAGGGCAGGGTCGTATTTGGGTTACTGAGATGGAATACTTTTATATTTTAAGTAGATATACAAAAATATAATTTATATTTAGCTTATTAAAATACTGGACAGCCAGGAAATATTGTTCCTATAAAAATGATGAGAGCAATCTACGCTCTGCTCGGCATTTGTATAATTCTGCTTTTGCCTCTGCCGCGTGGGTTCCATAGGTTTCCTAATAGATTATCATTTTTATGCCAGTTAGTCGCATCAAGCAGCTTGTTAAGAACGGTCGACAGTCTCTAAAAATCCTGGTTGTGTATGTTCAAGTACTCATAATTTTTATTTAATGTGTGGTGCTGGTTGCAGATAGTGCGTTTTTGATAGAGATAAAAAAGAAATTGGTCTCACAAACTTTGGGTTTATAACTTGATCCCTGCATACGGTGATAAGAATAAAAGACATCATTTCCTGGACTGGTAGAGCCAAATCTACTGAGATTATGTCAACAACTTTCGTCTAGCTGTTAGATTTATTTAAGGTTTGACAAACTGTGCTCTAACACTTCGTAGTAGACATGCCTGCGCACAGATAAGCGATTCTTCAGATTCCAAAATTGTTGGGCATACCTTGGTTTAAGATCTGCAGAATATGGTACACATTTCAACTGCTCTGATTAATGATCGCGTTGAACCCTCAAAGATTGCAAATTAGCCTATCAGCCAACTGCAGCAAGACTCATAAATTATAATGTGAGATAGGTATAATTAATGCTCAAAAACAGATTTGTGAATTTTATAGAAGTCATTCAACAACCAGCTTGGAAAGATATTTAAAAATTATTGAGCTGTGAAATTGTATACAAAAGATACGAAAGAGGGGCCTGTCTTCGTTTTGATCGACTAGTTATGCAAATTTCCTCCGGTATTGGTTAACACTCACAGAAATTTATATTGAATTTCTGTTTGGGCGAGCTTAACGTTTAGGAGCCATTAAAATCAGAATTCATAAACTAACGAATTCACAAAAAATCGAATGACGTCGAAGCTTGTCAACTGGTTGTTTTTTTTCGACAACTAGTTTTTGGGGGGAAAAAAAATCTTTTATTGTGTTGATCACGTGATAAGGTGTACATTTCAAATATAACCTTGATCTTGAAAATTACCTTTATAAATAAAGCTATTACTTTTCAGGTATTTGTTTTCTGGCCGTCCATCTGGATGAACCTGAGCTTTTGTCTTGTCTGCTGCACGCTTATCATTTATTGTCTTGTAGTGTAAATTATAACTAATCAAAAACTATGGATGATGCTACAGAGTACCAGAAACTCCGAAGAAACATGGAGCAAGCCCAGGGAACTAGGACAGGAAATCAGGATGGCATCAGTACTGTTGTCTACAGCGTGGAAGGAGAAGAAGTGGGTATACTTGGATCTAAAATATATAGAATTTTATATTATGTTGTGGTTAAATAGCTCGCTATTAACTGTGAGGTGGCATCGGAATCTTCGGGTCAACGAGATCAGTGGAGCAAAGGAGTAGAGTTCCTCTTCTCCTGCATTGCTTTATCCGTTGGTCTGGGAAATGTCTGGAGATTTCCCTTTATTGCTCTGGAAAATGGTGGAGGTGCTTTCTTGATACCCTATGTGATAGTGCTCCTGCTGATTGGCAGACCTGTTTACTATCTTGAGGTGATCATTGGTCAGTTCTCCAGTCGCGGTTGCATCAAGGCTTTTGATATGGCGCCTATTATGAAGGGTAAGATCTCCAGAGGATTCCTTCCTAAAATTATTACAATAATATCATTATTACGTTAAGGTATTGCCTATGGTCAAGTGTATTCTACCGCTTTGGCTACTACATACTATGCCTGCATAATGGCATTGACCATCAGATATTTGGTGGCCAGTTTTAGTGAGGTCCTGCCCTGGACTTATTGCCTGGTTGAATGGGGCAGCAATTGTGTGGCCACAGGAGCCTCGGCCGCTAATGATTCATCTGTTGTTCAGGGTGTGTCCTCTGCAGAACTGTTCTTCACGTGAGATTAAAATAAGGAATACCTAACTATAGAACTCCTAAATAATTTTCACTACATAATACAGGCAAACGATTCTCAGAGAACCAGAAAGTTTGGAGGACGGTGGCTTAGGAACTCCCAGCTGGGATCTGGTGTTGTGCCTTTTGGCCACCTGGGTGATCATCGGCACTGTTTTGTCTAAGGGCATTAGGAGCTCTGGAAAAGCTTCCTATTTCCTAGCCCTTTTTCCCTATGTAATAATGTTTGTCCTGCTGATCAGGGCCGTTACTTTGCCAGGAGCCTGGCAGGGAATTGTTTACTTTATGAAGCCTCAATGGTCCCAGCTGCTCAACCCACATGTGTGGTATGCGGCCATCACCCAGATGTTCTTCTCGTTGGCCATCTGCTTTGGCACTCTGGTCATGTACGCCTCCTTCAATGATTTCAACAAGAATGTGCACAAGTAAGATGCTCTGATACCATTTTTTATATTTCTCACCTGCTCTAAACTCTTCCAGAGATGTGATCATTATCACCACTATAGATTCCCTAACATCCATCCTGGCTGGTTGCATTATTTTTGGTATTTTGGGGAACTTGGCTCATGAGACCAATACCACGGATATATCCCAGGTGGTCAAGGGTGGAGCTGGTCTGGCATTCATCTCGTATCCAGAGGCCATTGCCAAGTTTAAGTATCTGCCCCAACTATTTGCCGTGCTGTTCTTCTTCATGCTCCTGGTTCTGGGCATAGGATCGAATATTGGAATGGCCAGTTCTGTGGTGAATGTGGTTAAGGATCGATTCACCCATTTGCCCCATTGGCTGCTGGCCGTGGGTGCATCGATAATTGGATTTCTATGCGGCTTGGTTTATATGACTCCCGGTGGACAATTCATACTAAATCTCGTGGACTTTTATGGCTGCACGTTTATAGCCCTCGTCTTGGCCATTGCGGAGTTATTGGCCGTGGGATGGATTTATGGTGTGAAGCGCATTTGCAGTGACATTGAATTTATGCTGAATGTGAAAACCAGCTTCTACTGGCGCATTTGTTGGGCTATTGTGGCACCTGGCTTAATGTTCTTGGTCCTGGTGTATATGCTCTTTAGCTACGAACCACTGACATATAGGGGTGTTCAGTATCCCCCGGCTTACTATATGGCTGGTTGGATTATCTGGGGATTGGGCGTTCTGCAGCTGCCCTTCTGGGCTGTGGTCACGATTTTCCAGCAGCCGGGCAAGACTTTTGGCAGTGTAAGTATAGATAATGTTATACCTATAATCATAAATAATAATATTAACCCTTTACCCCACAGAAACTGAGAATGGCCATGCAACCCACTGCCAATTGGGGTCCATTGCAAACTCAAAAGTTCGAGGCCTATATCCTTCATCGGAAACGTGAGGCGGATTTCAAGAGTCCACGCGGCGGATACTTGTTCGACAATATCTTTGGTTAAAACTCTAATTTGCTGTATTTTAATTTTACGCTTTATTATTAATGCTAAACGCGCCAAACGTTTGTTTGCACCAAGCTTGCAGCTTAAGATGTGACAAAAAATTTCTAACATTTGGTAATTAATATTTCCTTAGGCTTTAGGCTTAGCATAGGCATTGAAAGTTGTTTGTTTTTTTAGGTTATCTAAATAATTGAATTAAATTTGGAAAAAATAGAAGCCAGAGACATGTGGATTTTCAATGGCAAATAATGACATTAAATGATATTGTCTTTGACTGGGTGATAATCTGGGTTAATCCATGTACACTGATTTTGTGAGTCTGCTCTGCTTTAGTTTAATTATCACAGCACTTTTTGATTCTGTTGTTATTGTGCAAAATTATAGATTTCTCAAATACAAGCCAGGAACCCGGCAGTTTTGTGTGTTCGGAGCAAGTGCCTTAAAAGTTCTTTAAACTATTTACAATTGTTATAAATGTATATTATTCTGTACGGTATATTTCCTAAAGTGTAAGTGGCAAGCTATAGCCAAGCAATAATTAGTCAATTTTTTGATTGAAAATCTTATTTGGCTTACTCATTTGCTTAGTTTTATTACATTATATATTTTAAACAATTGTTTGATTCAAATTAAGATTTGATTTGCTTATGTCTTTGGCAGATTTCTGTTAGATTTGGGCAAAGTTAGCTAGATCCCCCATCCCTCTCTGATGAAAACCATTTAATTCCATACTTTCCCCCAGCTCGACAATCTATTTGTTTTCTTTTATGCTAAGAATTGACTTTTGTTTTGCAGATTTTATAGCCTACATTTCAGCGCAAAATTCAGCTTTTATATTTGTTGTGATTAACTACTGGGTTTACATCTATGATATATAGGTATACATTTATAGTTCCCACTGAATCGCTATTGGTTGTGTCTAAAATGGAAGTTTTCTTCGCTACCAACTCACACTAGATATGGTCCTATTTATTGGGCTTGCCTCTATATGATTTATAGAAAAAATCTAGCACACGATATGGAGTTACCTTGAGAATATTGTCTACTACTTAAGCTAGATGCCTAATCGGGGGTCACCTACCACATCCCTCCTTTACGCTTTTATCAGAGCTGAGTTTGACTGGAGAGAGTTCAAAAATTTGTTAAGGCCTAGTAAATATCGAATTAGAATCACGTAACAGGTGCAGTTTCTTTCACATTGCAGTGTTTGTTTTTCGCATTAGTTTAGCCCTAGCCCTAGTGTTAGCTCTAGATCCATTCTATATACAGGAGATAGAAAAAATACGTATGTAGTTCGTAGGCGACTAGAAGGCCTGAATTGGTCGATAGAGTCCAGTGTATCCGCAGAGTCGGGCTCGCAGGGCCGGGATCAGGAAGGCGGCCAGCGAGATGTCCTTGAGCAAGTCGGCGCACTCGCAGACCAGGAGGTACATCTTGTCACCCTTCTGCGAAGTGCTCTTGTGCAAGGCGATGCGCCTCAGGCCCGCGGCACGTGGCAGGTATCTGTAATGAAGCAGCAATCAGAGAGATAACCAGATAGCCTTCCGGGAAGATACTTATAACATTAACAAAAAAAACTGAATTTTCTTAGTTGCACAGATTTTGCAAAAAAAAATTTATAGTATTATAATAGGTTTTTACTTAAATTTTTCTGGTATAAAATAATTTTGTGATCTGAATCAATTTAAAATCATTTTTAAGTTGTTGAAGTTGTTTCTATTTAAACCAAATTGAAAATCATCTTCTTACTTTCACTAACATTGTTAAAAATATTTTTTCGTAATATTTTTTTCTCGGAAAAATGGTTTTTTAGTTTTATATTTTTGTAGCAATAAATAATATTGAGCACTGGATTTATATAAAATGTAAACTAAAATAAATAAAATATTTTAATTTAAAATATTACTGTTAATATAAAAAGTTTACCATTTAACAAAACCAAAACTGTTCAAAAATATTTATATTTAAACTGTTTTATACCTTTCGATCTGTAAAAACGAATAAATAGAAGGTTGAAATAATATTTTAGAAATATAAAATTCTAATATGCATTTTCTTAAATTAAATCTAAATGATTTCTAAATTAAAAACATATTAAATCTTTTGTTTCTTGTTATTCTACTGTTACTATTTTTCAAAGTGTACCTGTACAGCATCCGGGCTCCTGTCCAGTAGAGCCAATTCTTTTCAAATCGTTCGCCATCGTCGCCCTCGAAAACCTGTGGAATTAAAATTGAATTTTTCATGAAAGTGAAAACCCTCGAATCTCATTTTCTGCAACTTCACTTCAGCCCACCTTGAACACGCTAATAATGTAGCCGGTGGCCGCGGTCTGCGATTTCTTGAAGCTACCGGCCTCATTCGAGGGCAAAACCAACGGCGGGCGGCAAATGGCGGCCACCTCGCTGTACAGATCCAAAGTGTGGGCGGCAGTGTATCTGGCAATGAATCGGAATAGGAATCGCAATTGCAATTGAGATTGGGGAATAAATGGGCAATTTTGCCACACACTGATTGAAGCACTCACTTGAGGGCCTTTGGCTCAAACTTGGACAGCGAGGAAACGCGCAGGCCAGCATAAAAACTGGATGGATCCGTTTGCAGCGTATTGATCAGGTAGTACGAGATGAAGGGGAACTCGGCTGGAGGAAAGGGGAATGTAAATATATTTTTCTGTTTTAGATATAGTCTACTCACAGTTCTTTTCCATATTGGCCAGCAGCATTCCGCCGACAGCCGTGTTGGCCTGCTGCACCTCAGTCACCAATTCGGCGGCTATGGAGCGCTGCTTGAGCAGCGGATGCGAGAGTGGCGACTCCATCACCGGATCGATGGCCTCCAGGGGACTCATCAAATGCACCAGGATGCACAACTTGGGATCGGACACTTCTAGCACGCTCAGAGGACTTGTGGCCTTGCCCTCGGCATTCAAGGCGGGCAGCTAAAAAGCGAATATATAGTTTGAGTTAAATAAAGTGAGAGTTAGAACGAAATCCTCTTCTTTCTATTTTTACTAGTTGAAGAAAATATGGTAGGGGCTTATAATGGAAAATTAGTTTAAAATATTATAACTATAATAGCAAATAATATTACAACATAGTAAAAATGAAAATATGCTGCTTTTAAATCTAGACAAAAATTAGTTTAAACAAAAATTCTATCACTAACACAGGAGAACCTTTTTTTATAACCTAAAATTATTCAAGTAGTTCATATAACTAATAGACTGTTGACCAAGAAAAAGGAGATTCTAAACTGATCGTTTAAGAATTTATAAATGTTTCCAATTTTGAGAACTATTCTTCTCACTTATTTGAGAAGACTCTTTCTTAAAATCAAGATAAAAGTGTTTTTGAGATTGTTTTTCGTGAAAGACAACGACCTAAATTTTATTTTTCGAGGCGAAATTAGCCTTTCAAACCGAAAGCACATCTTCTCGAATTTGAGAACTACAGATTGAATAGATCTGGCCTCACTTTTGTAATTTTTTCTGAGTGTATACCCACCGGAATGCCAGCTGGCAGGAATCGATCCACACTGTGCACGGGAATGATGAAGCAGTCGCGATCCAGGGTGGCCAGTGAGATGGGTTCCGCTCGTGTGACTCCCGAGTTGGCGCCACCACCAAAGTTCACTGTAAGGTACAGTGAAAAACCATTAACAGGGCTGCTACAAAATGACAGAGTCAGTAAGTTAGACATTGAGTTATAGAAATACATATTAAAAGGTATTAGCTTTCTGGCAAGCCAATGATGATCGCTTTAAAGCTTCGCCTTAAGATCCTTTTGTAAGCTGCAATTAATAGGCATTTTGCTATAGTTATAAAGGAGATCGATCCCAGAGCTCTTGTTGTAGTATAGTAGTGCATGTGATTCCCCTGAAGCTTGCCACAAAATACTGAAAGCGAGGGAAGGCTTTTTGGCGTCTCCGAGAACATGTCTAGCTTTCAGTATTTTCACTAGTATTTTCACCAACAATCAGATATAGAAAACAGAAAAGGAAACGAAAACGAAAACGGAAACGGAAACAAGACAGAACTTGCAACAGTCAGATTGAAGTATTTATTTGTAGAAGAACTCTTCAGGTTAGCTACGTACAACGTGCAACAAACATTAATTTGGGGGAAAACATTTGGGAGGGATTAGGGTGTTTGGAAGGGAGTGCAACATTTAGGGTTTGTTTGAGTGTGTCAGTGTGTTTTTTGGGTGAGCTGAGCTGGCAAATGACATTAGTGTTGAACGAGTTTTGGGCAGCAACAACAACAACTATACTTGAGATCACATCAGATCGTATAAGATCAGATGCGGGTTCTCAAGTTCGTAAGTTCTCAAGTTTTTTATATTTTTTTTTGTAGGGGGGACTCAAACCTTGCCGCGTGGCTGCAGCTGCGGCCGCTAGCAATGTTGTTGTTGCCGTGGCCACCGTTGCATCAGCGTACCCCAATGTTGTTGCTGTTGCTGTTGCCAATAGATGTTGCTGCCGCTGCTGCTGCTGCTGTTGCAGTTGCTGCTGCATTTGCTGCTGCAAGTGCTGCTGTAGTTGCTGCTGCTGCTGCAGGCGTATCAAACTGTTACTAGCGCTGTTGTTGTTGCTCTCCGTACCCGGTCCGCTGCTGTTCCAGCGCATCAAGGATACAGATGGCCGGCGGTCGACCAGCGGCTGCGGAATGTCCAGCTCGTAGGGCAGATTGCCGGGCAGGGCCAGCGAGGGGGCGGTGCTCGACAGCGGGGTGGTCGGGATGCCTGACAGGGCGCTACATCGTTCTGAAAATTGGAGGCTGTCGATACTTTATATGCACACAAAAAACACAAAACACACACAGCAAACAGAACAACAACAAAAAGGTGGGGGGTGGGGGCCATGGAGGTGTGCTATATTGGATGGGCGGATATTCTTTGTAAAAGGTTTATAGGGACACAAGGGACATCTTCGGAATATTTGAAGTATCTCTGTTTACCCTATCAAAAGCAAAGGAAACATGCCAATTATTAAAAAAACTTTATAAAGCTGACAAAATAATTTTATGGCATTATGATTTTTAAGGTATACTGAAAGGGATTTTTATATCGTATCCAAAATTTTTAAGAAAAATATTTTGAAATTAATTATTATCATGTTGCAAAAAAAGACAATATTCCAATTATTGTATATTTAAACCGAATTGTTTTAACAACTGAAAAAGACTCTGTTAACCATTTAGTTCTTATGCAAAATATAATTTGTTTATATGCAAAAAGGTTAACAGGTCTACTAAAGATACAGTTTTAATATTCTGAAGATTTCCCTTTTTAATTTTATTTTGAAACCTCAAAACAGTATGATGTGTAAAGTGCGGGGCAGGGGACTGAGTTCCTTTTCGGTTGCTGATTTTATTAACAGTGTGGGCCAAAACTAGACACATTCATCAGCTTCGTGGGTTAGTAGGCTCTGCTGCCGCTGCCGATGCTGCTGGAAAAACTCCTTGGACCTTGGTTTCCGGGCTTAGATTCAAGGCCATTGCCACAGACGGTGGGTGTGGAAATATATGTAGTTAAACGGGAAATCAAATAGTAACTTACATACGCTCTCGCTTTTGCTTTCTGTGCCCCCTAAGCCAAGCCAACTGGAAACTGGAAGATTAGCTGATGCTGGGCACTCACACACTCACCTCCTTACACACACTTTCACACTAAAACACACACAGTTGAAGAGCTTAGAAGGCGGAAGCGATACTTTTATTGCAACTAAGATCCATTAACAGGTAAATTTCTGACTAAGGTTAATAATGCACGAGATGCAGGGTACCAAATATCTCAAAAATAGGGTTTTACTGTTCAAGTTCTTTAAAATAATCCATAATAAAAATTTTAAAATAATATATGATATGTTTCCAGGAACCCAAATCACTCAACTTATTAGATGACTGAATACAAAAGTTTTAAAATAAAATCATCTATATATTATATTCTGACTTAATATTAGGTTTATATTAAAAGTTAATCGTTATATGCCCAGGTAACTCAGTGGAAATTGATTTTTTGTAAAAGTTTTTATTACTATCAAATTAAATTCAATCAAAATCAATTATAGTTACACTCTTACTGGACTAAACAAGTCCCATTCATAAATAATAAATCCTCTATTAAACTGACCCTCAATTAGGGCGCAATAAATGGTCCCACCTGCCAGTGGGCTGTTTGCAAAATGGATGGAAACATTTCAATTGAATGCCCTGCAAATGGCTGAAATGCAAATGTCAGGTTAATGGAGCACAAGTAACTGAGGGCCAGCAGGCTCAAGCGACTACAAGGGGGCCTAAGTAATCAAGGGAGACAGAGAGAGGAAGAGAGTGAGGGAGAGGAGAGAGTGAGACAAAGAATGAGCCATGTTTGTGGATGATTGAAATGGACGCTAGGCTAAAATGTCTACAGTAAACAATTGAAAGAGTGAACTCAAAAAGATAGTTAATATAAAATTATTGAATTTACATAATATAATCAAAACCTAGTAATTTATTGCGAACATATTCTAAATGTTAATTAAGAAGGTTGTATAATAATCAAATTTGTGGTTTTTTTTAATTAATTGACTTTTACACTTGTTTTTAAAGGGTTAGAGTTAGATATTAAGAGCACATTTAATAAATTGTGTTTTTATAAAGGCAAAAAATATTTTTCTTATTTACTTTCTAAAGTTATATGATGGATGTGAAAATTAATAATTGCAACATGAAATTTTTATTCGTTAGATATTCTTAAAAAATAGAAATAACTCCAAGGTGTTCTATTTTATTTTTCTTTTTAATATTTAAAAAGGGTAGAAATAACTCCAAGGTGTTCTATTCTTATATTTGAAAAGGGTCCTTAGGTATTATTAACAGTTTTGGAAAAGTAAGGTTCTATGTTGTTTTGATGGACCACTTTTTTAATAAATTATTATTAATTTTATTTAATTTATTATTTAAACATAAAATACTTGTACTTAAAATATATTTTTGATCTAATACTGATTGGTTCACTCTTTCCATGATCTACTGTATTTGCAATGGCGTTGTTGTTGCTGCTGCTGTGGTTGCTCTTGCAGGGCGAACGACAATTTACCTTCGCCCACATCGTAGCCGGGTCGGTTGGGCGAGAAGAACAGGTGGGTCCTGTAGTGGATCTCCTCCGGCTGCTGGACGAGTCCCATGTCCCGGGATCGCTTCGTCCTGTTGGCCTTCGACTGCAGCTTTCCACCGCCGCCGCCCGATTTGCTCGCCCCCTCGCGAAAATTCTTGCGAAACATTAAATTCATCGTGAGTTCGGTGGTTCAAAAAGTGGACTTGTTGATGGCGGTGGGTGGTTGGTGTTTTTGTAGGTGGGTTATGGGTGGTGCTGTGGGCTGGTGGTTTGTTGTGGGTTTTCCTAATTGTTGACCGCTCTTGGGATGGGTTGTGTTTGTCTGTGTGGCGGTGCGTGTGCCTCCTGCCTTTGTTATCTGATTTGTCGTTACTGTGGTTTCATTTGAATAAATTTCGGCGACCGCTTTTTGTTTGCTTCGCTATTTGGGCCTATATTAAATTTAATTTCTGTTTTAAAGGACCGGCAATTTATTTGCATTTACCGAGGTCAAACAGCCAGAATGAAGATAATGGTAATTATTAATTTGCGCTTCTCACCGTTTTCGTTGATGGGTATTTGTTAGCGGAATAAATATTATAATAGTCTAGGTCAGTTATTATATATACGTTACAATTTTATTTTTTATTATATTAATTTTTTTTAAATAAAATTAAATTAGTTTATTGTTGGTCGGCAATTTATAAACAATTTTAGTTGCCTATCAATATTTTAAATACATTTATTTCGCCATGTGAAGTTGGCAATCTTTAACCAATTTCGTTATTATTATTTTTGTCACCCCCTCTGGTGTTGGCTTTTTCACTTAACTCGAGCACGCGAATTTTTGTTTAGCCCCTTCAGTTCGTTGACTCTGTACATTTGGCCAACAAAATGGGCAGCAAATGCTTTTGGGGCTAAGTGAACGTACACAAGTAGAGAAGAGTGTGTGCAAGTGGACGCGAGTGTGGCAACGTCAAGCGGAAATTGCCAGTTTCCGGCTCAAAATTACTTAGCCCAACTCAACTTGCAGGATACGCGAACTCGGGCTCAAGTTTCCCCCGGCAAAAAAAACCCGTAAGAAGCGGAAAAAAGGCAAAAAAATAAAATACCAAATGCCTGGCAATTACTACTACTGTGTGTTTGTGCGAGTTTAATTAGTTCAAGACACGGCGCAATTAGTTTTATGGTCGCATATCGATTGCCTTGGTGCGATAAATTTAGACAGCTGTTGGCTGGAAAACAGCGAAGGGGCGTGGCGGGATAAGTGGGCGGGTGCAAATTGAAAAGTGCTTAGCTAACACAAATAGCTGGGCAATTTATAAACAGCTTGCCGGCTCAAATGAGGCATTAAACAGGGAAAATTCAATTGAAATTTTTGAAAAGTCAGCAAGGAAATCGAAGCGAAATGAGGGGGAAATTCAAAATACCAAAACAAACTTTGTGCAATATTACTCTTATAATTAAAATGAAATTTTAAACAGCTTGCAGTAATTCAGAAAATGATTACCCCATTAAAAATAAAAATAAAATTTAAAATTCAATAATCATGATACTTAAAATGAGAAAGTAAGTTAAGTACTAATAAAATTACTTATTACAAAATTGCATCAACAGTACTAGAAAACTTTTATATAAAAGATTTTTCTGCTAAAGGCGCTACGCAGATTCCTAATAAAGGCTTGAATAGCTAGCCATAATTCATAAAATTATTAGCCCCATAAAGTTGGAGGAAAATCGCCTTGCTGAAACGATTTTCCCCCAGCCAAACATCAAATCACTCATCCGCCCCGTGGAGCAGTGGGATAAACTGCCAGAATGCATTACTTAAGTCTATAATTCCTTTCGCAGCCACTTGGGCATACTCTTCGACACCCAATCCTCTCCATCTGATCCCCCTCCTAAATCCATTAACTAAGTCAATCACGCAACCCATCAACTAAAACGCAAATCAAATGGAGAGCAACAACGAAATGGATCGTAAACATTTTTACAACACTTTCAAGTGGCCTGGCTAACTATAATTAATTGATTTAACGAGCCCAGTTACAGCAATAATGTCCATCACATTAAATGAGGACCACAGAAGCACTTGCATATAAAAATAAACAACAGCGAAATAATCAAGAAGCCATGGCAAAATGTGAGAGATAATAACCCCAAATTTTCGATTCATTTTCTGGCCAAAAATAAACAAGCTAATGACATAAAAATGTTGCGTTCTGTTCTCTGCCAAAATACAAAGCCAAACAAGAAAAAGACCAACGAAAATTATAAAATTAGATTTTCTTATAGAGAGAGAGGGAGCTGCGCGTGCTGGGCTGGTTTCTTTGTTTTTTTGTACTAGGTCATGGGAAGTACGGCCCTTGACCTTGGCTATAGAACTAATCTACGAGTGCATTGTGTTTGTGTATAAAAGTATCTGCGGTTTTATTTTCGTGAATGATTTGGGTTTCGTGCAGGATCGGAGTATAGCCATACATACATATAGATACATGAGCCCGGTTTTTGAGAGATAAACAAGCTAAATGCTGAAATGTTAAATTAATACGCTTCTGGCTTATACATATTATTCAGGGTTCAATAAAGTAATAGCTTAAAAAAGGCCACTTGAACCCGATTCGTCTGGATATATCACGCTTAAACTAAATATTATTTTCGCATGTTCTTTAAAACCATACAATTTT